AGCTGGAATTATGAGCTGGCACTGACAAAGGAGACTATGAAAGTCAGAGATGCAAAATACACGGCGGACACTGGGGACATGGAAGTCGTTGCTGATAAAGATTGAACGTGAGGGTGCTCAAAGCAGTCTTTAACTCACTACTTCCATTTCTCCGCATGCCAAATGTAAACAAAAAATCCCTCCTTTTCCTTCTCCCACGCAGAAATGACCAAAGAAATATTTGATAAGTATGTGCCGATACACATTAAAATTAAATGCATGTTGGAGTTTCTGTCTTGGTTGCTTCGCTGTGACATTCATATATACTTATTTTATTCAGCCTGTTTCACAGACTAGACCAGGATATTTACTCATCAATTTTTTTTCCCTAAACGCAGTGCTAAGTTGTGCTAAGACTTTTTTTTTCTTCACCTAATTAAGTCTGTATTTTCATGGCTTAACAACCATCACCTCCAGCTTAGACTGTGATTGCACCAAGTGTATGACAGGGACAGCATATGGCAGTAACTCAGGAGCCCCATGAAAAAAAAGGTCATTATTTTGCCCTTTGAAATGAATAAGCCTTCAGTTTCAGGGCAGCTCCTTGCTTATCTGTTGCAGCAAAGCATGACTAAACCTCCCTGCTTTGAGCCGTGGTCAGTCTTCTCCCTCAGTGCTCCCTGCCACTCCTACAGCCTTTGTAGGTCCAGCAGCGGCCGTTTAAAACATGACACTCTCCTGCAGAGAGCAGGTGAGGCTCTTTCTCAGCTTTAGGGTCTGAGGAACATGAAGGAGATCCTACCAATGACACCTTTGTCCAGGGGCTGCCATCATATGCTGAAATCCTACCTTGTTTCCTGGCCCAGCCCCACAACAGTCATGCCCACTACTTCATCTTGCAGGCAACTCGTAGGGCCAGAGCTTGCTGCTGCCATGGCTTTTTGAACACATGGCCTCAGCCCAGCTCCTCAACATTAAGTTTGGAGGCCCAGGGCAGGTGCAGGGTTCCAACTGCGCTATGTTAGAGCTGTGTCCACACAGGTGGCTTCATGGTTATAAGCCCTGGTGGTGTGAAAAAACGATGGAGTGAGCAGCGCAAGTATCTCTGATGTCTGTACATCTGCTACCTCCGTCTTCTCTTGTCTCCCTGGTTTTTGCTTGCCTTCCACCTGTTTGCTTTTCCCTTTGCTAATGAGCCAATCTCTTCCTGTAATTAAGTCAGCAGGCATTCATCGAAGAGGCAGCATCATATTTTGGCAAGAGGATGGGAACAGAACTATCCCCAGAAGCAATTAGGAATGTTTCTTAGCGGTGATTAAGGAATGGTGATTAACACATGAACAATTACCTGCTCAAGAAAATAGTTCCTATAACAGTTTCACTCTGAGGGTTTTTTTTTTAACCCCAAAACTTGCTGGAAGGTCTAGAAGGTCTTCATGATGGCTCATATAGAAAAGAAAAGCAAGCTAAGATACACAGCTTCCTACCAATGGCCTGTCTTTAAAAACTGCCACTGTCCCTGGCTACCTCAGCATTCTGAGCCCTTCTCTCTGAGTGGCATCCATGAAAATCGCATGTCCGGTGCATACCCTGCAATTTCTTGGTGGGATGCCTCTAGCCTCTTCCCTTTTTGCTAACTTGTAAAACAAAGGTTGGAATGCAGGCGAGTGAGGACAAGTATTGTATCTGTCTGTATATATGTATTTTGAAGAGGCGTACTTCCTAAGTGCTCATGTAAACTGTGATTAGCAATCCAAACTATTCAATATGTGTCCCACTTATAACTGGACTTTTTCATTCTTGGCTACTGCTACCCTGTTCTGTTATATGCTCAGCTTGACCTGGTTTGGTTTAACCTGCCCTCCTTGTAAGGCTTTAGCTGTATTTGGAAGCGTCATGTCCTGGAGAGGGGATAGCCTCTAATAGTTGGAACTGTAGACACAGGGTTTGGTGGCACGTGTGCTAAGATCAATCTGGAGAAAAATCCCAAGGGAATAAATTACATTAAAACTTGGGTGCCAACTGGTCTCCTGAGAACACTCAGTCCAAACTCTCCTGCCCCAGGGTGTGAAGCTACAGAGAGTATTAACACCTAGCGGGAAAGCCAGGTTTGATCCACAGTTCCTTCTTGACCATGGGAAAGTCTGTACCTTTTCTCAACCATCAGAGTTTTATTTTCAAAACGGTAATGGAAGAGTTTATAGAGGGTTCGAGCCACTGATCCCTGACACGCAACAGAACAAACAGAAGCGTTAAGGGAGTATTTATTTACTCAGACATCACTGTCTATCTTGAATGAGCCAATCCAAGTCAGTGATGAGGGTCAGAGGCCTCAGTGTTTTGCAAAGTGCGTTGAATACAGGGTGATTCCATGCAGAAGCAGAATTGCCTGAGACTATGGCAAGGAAAGTGCTTTTCTCAGAGTGGTACAGCTTGGAATTTTGTTTTGTTTGGTTGTTGTTGTTTTGAGATGGGGTTTCGAGTAGACTAGGCTGACTAAGTATTCAAGGATAACCTCGAACTCTTGATCCTCTTGTTTGCCCTTCCTGAATGCCGAGTTTACGGTCCTGGTCCTGAGCCATCACTCTTGGTTTTAGGTGCTGCTGGGGACATGCATATAAGGCAAGCAGTTCACCAACTGAGCAGCATCTCGGATGCTGATGCCCTTGGAGAAAAAAATTGACTAAAGAGAGCCTTGGTTCTTCTTCAAACACACAGTCTGAATCTCAGATTAGTCTCAAATTTGCTACCTTAATGTCCCACTAATGACATGACATAGAGACAATCCCAAGGCGATTGTTTTTTTGGAACACACAGGAGAGGACATTTTAACTGGGGTTACTCTGGGTAAATTCCTCAAACTCCAAATAGAAGCAGTAAACATGTGAATATAAATATGACAGTCATTTGTTTGGCTGCAACCACTTCAGATAGTTTTTGGCACACTTAACGGTACAGACATTTTTGGTGGATGATTAAAACGCCATTCCACTTTTATGTTGTTTACCCCACTTTTGTCACTGCTGTTTTGGGGGACACTATCAATTTCTTATAAGGTTCGTGTGTTTCTGCCTAGTGTCTTGCTGTTAGAGGGAGGGATACCATGGACTTTGCAGGCAATTGTTTGTGAATAACTTTACATGGATATGATTGTCAAGGTTTGATCTGATGGCTCTTTTTCTAGTTGTTGTTTTTTTCTAATTAGAAGTGGCATCAATGACAGCTTTAACATTTGCATCTTAGTCATCAAGGGATTTAAAGATCATTACTAGCGTGGATTGGTACCCCTCTGAAGAAAAGCTAAGATCTCTTTTCCCATGAAGAGGCTTCTCTCTGAAGGGATGGCATAGCCAAGGGTGGTTTTTTGAATTTAAATTTAGAAGGAAGCTAACCTGAACAGTGAAGCATACAGAGAAGATGAGCCAGGCTTGCCTTCTGGAGTTCTCCCTAGATGCTTTGACACGTACATCTGGTAGAGCTGTTATGAGCTATGGAGAGAGCCCCAGAGCCTAGAATTCCAGCCAACTCTTCAATGGCAGAAGCCAAGTTTGGATTACAAGGCCGAGTAATGACCTTGCTGGCCAATAAGAAGATACAGCCCAGGAAAAGGTGGAGGAAGCAGCTCATACTCTAAGTCTCAAGACAACCAACCACAAAACCCAGTCCCACAGGCATACACTTCCTCCATTGTAACATGGAGGAAGATTTGCCTTAAGAAAGGCTGATGGGCAGAGTTCAGTTTGACGTAAGGGGGGAAAGGGAAGATGTGAAGGCATCCTATTAGGTAAATGGGGGAAGAAGTTATGCAAATGTTGGTAGTTGTTGTTCCTGTTAGGGTAGGTATCACAAACATAAACCTTATTTTACAATTCTTAAGGTGGAGTGATAAGCATATTTTAATTGTTACATGTGATTACGATAGTCACTGCCCATAATAATCTTAGTTATTAAGGATTCAAGGATCTGGTATAAATATTTAGGCAGGTTTTTTTTTTTTTTTTTTGGCAATCAATTAAAGTGTTTGAGGGTAAGCATCAATATGTCTGAAGGCTCAGGAGGGGTGTACCTGGCCCCTAAGATTCATTCATTCTACATGCCATGGGTGAACTCCATTCACTATGCAGCAGGGAATTGAATGAAAGGTGATGGAAGCCATTATTCTGCCATTCCTGGGTTTCCATTATGGAGTTCTGGAAAAGGCTTGTCACATCAAAGAGGCTGCAGAACAACAGGGCATTAGCCTGATGTCAGTACCCATCCCATTCCAGACTCCTGCTCTTTAAGGAGGTAAAAGAAGGAGCCTTCCTTCATCAGGTCTTTAACTACTGCCCCAGACGTACCTCATTCCATTGATAAAAAGCATGCTGTCCTTGCTTGGTCCTGGCCACACTCTTCAGATCCCAAGGACAGAGAATGTACCCCAGTTTCAAGTGGGGATAAGCAGCCAACCAAAGAGCAACCACTGGAAAGCCCCCTGTCCAGGTTCACCCAAGCTGAGAATCTGGTGGTCTTTCCAAACTCACTCTACCTTACACTCCTTTCTATCTAGGTCCCCTCTCCATAAATGTCAAATGTAGTTGCCAGTAGGTTAAGCCCGAAAATAAAATCCCCTCCCTTCCATCAAGAAATAGCTCCAAACTTAGAGTGTGTGCTCAAAATATTCACAATGAAATCATCATCCTGTATTTATAGTCTTTTGGATTGTGTCTGAGATTTTCTTTCCCATGGTATTTCTTGTTGAAAGGATCAGTAGTGGAAAGCAGGACCAGAGAACGACTGAGGGTTTGAGGGGAAGGGAAATGGGCCTCCCATCATTCAGAACTGGTTGACACCAGACGCCCTGCCTCTTCCCTTGTGCCCTACCACTTGCCTGATAAACTGGTAGCCTCCCTCTCCCCTTTCCCAGACGGTCCCCTCCTTGAATGGTCCTGGCTTGTCCTTCAAGAAGAATTCACTGGCCTTCCGAGGGGCCATCAGCAGTACCTAGTGTCAACCCTTTTTCCTGTGACCTTTCCCATCCTCTAGACTTCCTCCCCGTTTTCGCCAAGGGAGATGGTGTGGATCTTAATGGTTGGAACCTGGTGATTTTCTTCAAGGCTGGGGGTCGAGGACCCCACACAGCAGCAGACCTGCAAAAAGCTTTTACTTCTCACCCGGGCGGTGGTGCAGGCAGATTGGTCCTTCGGCACTGTAATCCTGGCTGATCCCTGGGGCATGGAAGAGAGAAGCTTCCATTCACAGACTCCGTCCGCTTTGGAGATCTTATAGAAAGTCTCTCCCGAGCCCACCGGGATACGCACCATGTCTCTGTGCTGTCCTTCTACAGCCTGGCTGGGCGGGTGCAGGGTGTAGCCCAGGGCATGCTTGGAAGACGGCCTTCTGCGGAGACACTGGATTCTCAGGACATTCTGAAAGGCTTTCTTGAACTCTTGGCTGGAACATGGGTATATGATGGGGTTGATGCAGCTGTTGAGGTACCCGAGCCAAAATACTATTTTGAAAACGGTTTCCGGAGGCTTGAAATCCGGGAAGAAGGACCCTGAAAGAGAACACGAAGGATTTACACGTGTGATTGGCAAGTCAAGAGGCTGATCAGTTAGAGCCACAAACCGACACCGTCTTTTCCTAATCTTTAAAAAGTTTCTAAAGCTTCCGGCTGCACATGAATGTCTCACACTGGCTGGTAACCCCTTTGTTTCTGTTTTCGAAGCCCATTTTCACACAGATAGGGTGTGCACAGCTCCCTCCCTCGCTCTGTAGGCTTCCTCAAAGCTTTACAATGTGCAGAATCATATTTTGATTGAGTCTAGACACTCGGTTTTGCCCGAGTTATAAAATAAGGCCAGGCACATACAAACCTACATCCTCATTAAAATGTGATTACCCGGGCTAGGCATGGTATTGCACCCCTTTAATCCCAGCACCCCCGAGCCAGAGGCAGGCGAATCGCTGTGAGCCCGAGGCCAGCTTGGTCTACAGATTGAGTCCCTAGACAGCCAGGGCTACACAGAGAAAATCTGTGTTGAGGGTTGCCCGATCACACCCTCTGTGAGTAGAAGGATCCAGAACACCCAGCCCAGTATTCCTTATTTTTTCCATTCAACACTTACTAGTCCCTTGAAAAGGCATTGTATGAATTGTGCGCCCCTGAAATGTTCCTCTTCACCCTTTACAGACAGGCCTGTAAGAATGGATTCACAGTCTTTTCACCTTCTTTCCTCCTTTCAGTCTTGATCTGGTCTCCTTTCTTCCCTCAATACCTGTAACAGTTCAAGGTCCACTTAGCTGAGTGGCCTTGGGGAAGTTCCATTACACCCAAGGGTCTCAGTTTTTCTTTTTGGACAAAGGGGAAGGTTGAATGAAAGTTTTCCTCATGGCTCCACACAACGTTCTCCCTTTCTTTCAGCCTGTGGTCTTTAGGATTATTATCTTAAGTTATTGTTTAGGAAGTTCATACTGTGCATATAATATGTTTTGATAAGATCTGCCTAGACTTCCTCCCCTCCACCTCCTCCCATACCCTCACCACTTTTCCCTCCAGGCTTCAAGTGCTCTTCCTATGAATCACAGAGCCCACTTAGTGCTGTATGTGCCCTGGAGCAGAGGAGCCTATCAGTGGCTGAAACCCTGAGGAAGGCTGATTCTTTGTCTCTTCAGCAGCCATCAGCTGCCCAAAGATCCTCAGCCAGGGTTGGATTTCATGGGCTACCTTCTCTATCCATGCCAAGAAGAGTATGGTCTTGATTTACTTTCTTGCACTTCCTCTCTGATCTGCAGCCCCATCAGGGTCAGGACACATGACACACACGCTTGATGCTCTTACAGATTACTCCTGCCAATACTATCCTGAGTTCACTCACAGACAAAACTTATATACCGGGGAAATCAAAACACAAGATGGTGGAACAGTTGGTAGGAAGAGTTATCACCAAGCATGAATGTTGTTAAGTTCAATGTGTCTCAAAAAAAAAACTCTCTCTCTCTCTTTCTCTCTCTCTCTCATACACACACACACACACACACACACACACACACACACACACACAAGTTGATAGGGGTTTACTATGGAAAACCATGTAGCTGAGGAAGTTTTATTCTTTAGGTTCAAATTTTCAGCGTTGTCTAATCATTAAAAAAAAAAAGGTTTAGGTTAACCAATTATGTCTTGAGTTAGGCAATGTGATTAACTTTTAGCATATAATTTAACAATCATTAGTAATATTGTGAATTATATGATTTCTAGTCTGGAGAGATGGCTCGGTAAATGCTTGCCTTGACATTGGTCCCCCAAAATCACATAAAAAATATAGTTATGGTGACACGTGCTCATCCCAGCGCTGGGGAGGTGAAGACAGGTGGATCCTGGATGCTTTCTGGACACCCAGCCTACTTAGTGAGTTCAGTGAGAGAACTCACTTTCCACGCCTCTGCACACGGACTAGACAGTGCCTAAGGAGCAAGACCTGAAGCTGTCTTCTTACCTTCACACTCCTGCACACACACATGAAAGTATATACACATGTGTATGTATCTACACACATAAGAACCTTCACATAAACATGTACCGACAACGAATGACATGCTTACTATGGATATTTTTATTTCACCAAAACCCCAAAAACCTTTGTCACAAAATGAGATCAAGTAACTCAACCAAGGTCATTCAGCTAGTCTCTGGCAGGGCTGAGACTTGACATTAGGTAGTCTAATTTCATGGACTTTCCGAGTCTCCCAGACTAGCACATTTCCTGGAAAGAGGTTGGTATACGCGAACAGTGAGCTGAGTAGTCAGGGACGGCTGAATTAGAATCAAGCTTTTCAAACCTCGCCTGGGAGCAGAGAAAGTGGTCTGTAGTAACATGAAGACTGGCTTTGTGCAAATATGGTCAATTCTCAAGAAAAATTCATTTTGCATTCCAATGTCTATATATTGCCCAATATTTCTCTCTCATGGTGACAGCAATGTGATTAAAGAAACCCATTTTATAAACCTCTGCCTTTTCCTGGGCTTAATGACTGATGGCTAAGCAGAGATGAGCTCGGCATAGCAAAACCCACCTCATCTGGAGACTTCATTACAAACAAATCAGCTTGACATGGCAGATATTTTCCTTATTTGATGAATTTTCAGCTATCAACACGAACAGCACAGCCCATACGCTCTTTGAACACAAAACTATTAAAGTGATTGGAGAACCCCAGTTCATTCAGGGATGCTATTTCTGCTTAGAGTCCAGGTTTACATGCATAAATTTTGCTCCTCAACTTCTGATCCCCTCTCTCCTCCCCAACCCCATTTCCTTAGTCTTGGGTCTAGCTGACCCATGGCTGAGTTCTTGTGCTCCACACTGTCAGAAAACAGGTCTTCTGTTTTCATACCCACCATTTGAAATATCCCATTGGTTTTTCCTGACACTGAGGTGCAAGGCAAGAAAAGGATTTAGTTAAAAATTAGGAAGAAGATCCAGACAGTCCTGATGGGACCTGATAGGCTAGGGTCAGACAGTAGGGGAGAAAAACTTACGCTATCAGTAGACCAGGGGAGAGGGATAAGGGAGGAAGAGGGAGGGAGGGCGGGATAGGGAGGAGATGAGGGAGGGCACTACAACTGGGATACGAAGTGAATAAATTGTAAAAAATTTAAAAAAAGAAAGATTTGGATGTAAGATGGTCTCCAGCTTCCATTCTTCAGGAACATTTTCTTTTTAATCCAAAAGCATCTCTGAATTTTGGCTGATTGAACTGTGAGTGGGAGATACTTACAGGGCAAAGACCTTTCCATAAATAGCACCACTTGGTTTACCAGTAAGTGTGTGATAGTATCCGGATGTGTCTAAGCCGAGTCACACACTTGCTCACCCCCATTTCCCTAGAGGCAGGTGGACCACAGAGCACTGTCCTCACTTTAGAGGGACACATGTGGTTCTCTCTGAGGAGCTGCTGATGGGCTGTGCTGAGGGGAGGGATGCAGAAAAACACTTCTACCAGCAACTTTCCAGTGGGTGAGAAAAGATAGCAAAGGGTTATGGACAGGGTTGTGTTCTTCTGTGAGGATGTTACCCACACCCTCAGCTCTCTTTCTTCACTTCACTTTTTTCTGTCTTAAGAAGAGTTCTGTGGGCATCAGGCTTTGGAAAGAGTTACGACCACCTAGTTCCCCATCCCACTGTCTCCTTCTTTGCCCAAACTTTTCCTCACAGACTCAGTCTTCTTTGAACTCCTCAAACTCAGTTTTTTTCTCAGATACCTTTCTTCCAGGTTACCGGTGATGATTTTGAGAGTTCGAGCACAGCTAAAGAAGGCTGTTCCTGGTCCTCCATCTATCAGGAGCACCAGGGTAGAACCAGTCATGCTAAGGATGTGGGATGGTTAAGATTGGGTGTCAACTTGACAGGATCTAGAATGGCCTAAGAGAGACATCTCTGGTCACGTCTTTGAGAGATTTTATAAAGTATGTTAACTGAGATGGGAAGAGCCACTTTGAGTGTGGGTGACACCATTTCATGGGTCGGGGTCTTGGGCTGGATGAAAAGGAGGAAGAGAGCTGAGCCCCAGGATCCGTCTTTCTCTGCTTTCTGGCTGTGTGAGCAACTTAACGAGCAGCCTCACACTCCTGCCTCCATGATTTACCCACCATGACAGACTGTATTCCTTTGAACCACGAGCTAAGATAAACCCTTCCTCCTTTAAATTGCTTCTGCCAGCTATTGTATCACTGCAGCGGAAAAGTAACTAATACAAAATATGTTTCTCTGACCCAGACAGCAGGGTGTGAACGCCACTTGGTCGTGACCTTGTTTTTGTTTGCTCACAGAGCTCTAGGACCCAGAACAGTGACATGGATGTCCAACTGCCATTTCTATGGAAGGGTTGACCCGAGCGAGGATGACCGTAGCTGACTGAATGGCTGAGCCTCCTTGTTTTCTCTATGCTGGCGGCCACCCTGCGGCAGGCAGCTGTCTTTGGTAACCACCCTAGCACCTTACTTCTCTCCCTGAGCCTGCTTTCTTCTATTTATCTGTCACCTTTTCCCGGCACTTTCTTTGTAGTCCTTTGCTGTTGGCTGTATTGGTATTTCCCTCTCATTTCTCTCCCATCCTGTACCATTTGCTGTCAAATACCCCAGAACTTCTTGTCACGCTTCATAGGAAGAGTATGTTTTCTGAAACCCATATGTGAGAAAACTCCTATTTTTTTTTTTTTTTATCATCATAGCTGTGTTTCATTCCCCAGTGACCTCTGTCCTGACTTTGCCTCTGGGGAGCCAACAGAAATCAGCTTAGTTCCTGGCACATCTTGCCCTGTAGGTCAGGTCACCTTTTACATGAAAATTTGCCTAAATTAATTCTTGGGCTTTGGAAAATTTTCAGTCCTTTGGAGCTTCTTGTTTAAAATTTATTCATTTATTTAAAATTCATTCATTCATTCATTCATTCATTCATTCATTCATTCATTCATTC